ATAAGATTTTGCATTTAAGATTAAAAAAATGTTTTTGTCCATCAATATGCTCTAAAGTTTTAGCTTCCCTGGTTTAATTTAATAAAATATCTGCCTGTAGAATCAATGTAAAACACACTTTCTTGCTGCTTGAGTGACGATTGTTTCTTCTTTAACCACATTGGGGCGTTTGCTTAGATTATTTTGAAGGTCGGAGTAAATAAAAAAATATTGCTTCATAATGATTTAAAGAAACATTTTTTGTGTAAACTGGGATAAATGTTTCCTGCCAAGTCAACAACCAAGGAGCCTGATTGGCTGAAAGGAGCTGCTCTTTATGGGCATCAGGGATTGTCAAGGTCATTTATTGCACAATAGTGATTGTTTTCAGTTGTTTTATAAGCTTTAAAGTGATGTAAACCTCTGTTCTCTGGTCTATTTAGGGGCATCTGGGGGAGTCGTCATGAAGAACGGCTCTGTGAGCACAGAGGCCCCCAGCCTGCAGGATAAACCCGCCTCCACCTCGTCCGCTCAGCTCGTCCTGCCCACTTATAAACCGTCCTGCTCCTCCACTCCCATCTACTACTGCAGCCCCCGTAAAAACTGCTCCGACTTGGACCCAGACAGTCACAGCTTGACCTCTCAGGACTCAGGAATCCCAACTCTGGAGATCAATCCTCCGGACCCCCTCCTCCACAGCCCCCATCATCATCATCCTCCTTCAGATGACGCCGGCGAGGACTCTCCAGCCACTTTACCTCTGGACGACGGCAGCAGCAGCAGCATGCACAGGTCGTCCACCTTCCCCCGCAGCGGCTACGACTCCGCCCGGCACTTCAGCCCCACCGTCAGACTTGGCGTCGGGGGCGGCGCCCTGAACCGCAGCGACGACATCTCTGTGTGCAGCGTGTCCAGCATGAGCACAGAGCTGTCCGTCTCCAACGAGGACATCCTGGACTTTACCGTCACGTCCAACTCGAGCGCCATCGTAACCCTGGAAACCGATCTCAGCGGCTCGGCTCACTTCTCGGACGTGACGCTTTCTTCGCCGACGGGGGAAACGTGGAGTCCTGGTCGGGGTCATCTGGGGTCGGGCGTCCTGCAGCAGGAAGACGGGAAGCTGAAGAAGCTGGGGCCGTTTGCAAATCTGTTCAACAGGTAAAGCAGTCTCACTCTGGATCCACTTCACCGTTTACAACATCAATAAAATCCAAAGAGCCGTTTTCTCCTGAGTCAGGCTGATTAAACGTTGTTTAGAGCCGCAAATATTGAAGCCTGGTTGACTGAATATGACCTTATAAATAAAAGAAAACCTATACAGGGTTTCCGCGGGTCATTAAAGGTCATTAAATAATTATTTTTTAAATTAAGGCCTGATTTGGCATTAAAATTCATTAAATGTGATGATTTTGGCATTAAAAACGCTTTATTTAGAAAAAAAAAGGCTTATAAAAACTATTTATTAAACAATATATATATATTTGCAAATATATTGCGATATATTTGCGCGGATCTGCTTCCGGTTGATCGTAAAGCTGTAGAAAAGGCTAGAGAGTGGGGAAAATGCTCATTTCAACAAAAGTGGCTGGAAATGGAGGAACTGCAGCCTGCCGACGGAAAAGATGAAGGAATTTGCCGCGTATATCTGAACGTCATGGGTATTTGTTGATGGTATTAAAATTATTTCTAAGAGCATTAAATTAGAGTTAATCATTCCTGTTTTAAACCCTGCTATATTTGTTACATATTTGCTATAGAAAATCTATTTTAAACGCAAACAGTTTAATTCCAAAAAAGTTAAAAAAACAATCCAATGGACTTTGTTTCAAGTTTGAAGACATTTTGCTTCCCATCCAGGAAGCTTTTTCAAAATGTCAGAAATAGCGATGAGTTCCTATGGAAGAAAAACTCTCATCGGAATCTGCCTTTTTTTTAACACCGAATTTTAAACACTGAATTTTTTTTAACAACAAATTTTAAACACTGATTTTTTTTTAACAACAAATTTTAAACACTGAATTTTTTGAGACATTAAATTCGTTACACTCAATTTTTATCTGGTAGAAGTTCAGCTGCAAAAAATTCAGCTGCAAAAAATTCAGCTGCAAAAGTGTTGTCCTTTTGGTGAACTCAAGCTTAAACAATCTACACTCGATAGAGTCGATCAGCTTCTAGCCAATGAAATTAGCTCATTTGGTCACGTGACACAACGGCTGCACTCAGCGCTGTTCCCGCGGAATTTTTTGTTTTGTTAAAGAGAGATAATTACAAAACGTCAGTTAGCTACTAACAGACAACTATTAGAGTTTTTCCTCTTATCAGACTGGGTGAAAAAACTGAGCCGACCAAAAAGTCAACACTTTTGCAGCTTTTGAATCTGAATTTTTTGCAGCTAAATTTTTTTTGCGGCTGAATATTTTTTTGGGGGCTGAAATTTTTTTCCGGCTGAAATTTTTTGCAGCTGAATTTTTCCAGACAAAAATTGAGAGAAAGGAATTCAATGTTAAAATTTGTTGTTAAAAAATTCAGTGTTTAAAATTCGGTGTTAAAAAAAAGGCAGATTCCAATGAGACTTGTTTTTCTTCCATAAGTTCCAGGCTTTATACAGTAGTCCAACAAAAGCTTGTTTTTGTTTAGAAAACATGCAAATTGAACGAATGAACGGGTCCACCCCTTAGCAATCAGGGTGGTTTGGCTTCTTTTGTTAACCTGCAATGCCCCATACCTGTCTATGTCTCCGAAAAGCTTAACGACCCCCATTCCTAAGGGGCGGACCTGTTCATCTGTTTCAATTTGCATGTTTTCTAAACAAGAACAAGCCTTTGTTTTGGTCCACTCTACAAAGCCTCGAACTCAACGCTATTTCTGACATTTTGAATTGAAAAAGCTTCCTGGATGGGACGCAAAACATCTTCAAGCTTGGAAACAAAGTCCAGTGGATTGTTTTTGAACTTTTTTTAGATGAGGAAAAACCATAAAATGTTTCTAAAGGATGAAGCACAGATTTCCCCTCATAGAATACTGGATGCAAAAAAAAAAAAAATAATAATAATCTTCAAGCTATCTAGAAGAAAATTTGATCTAAAAACAAATTATTAGTGTCTTAATCTGTTGTGAAAATTCAAATCAAATGTTATTTTAAAAGCTAATAAAGCATCTAAGCCTGGTTTGCGTTTTTCTACCACCACTGAGACCCGGTTTAGAGGTTCTAAAGAGCCGCAGGTTGCAGCAGAACCCTGGATTAGAGACTGAGGTGAAGGTTCACCTTCCAGAGAGTAGAGCTTCCTGTGTCAATCTACTGTCCAGGAAGATGCATCCTGAATCAATTCCCTCCATCAACATCAGACATGACATGTTATTAATTGTTGCTTTAAAAATAAGCTAAATTAAACTGAAATGTATAGGAACACATTAAAAGTCATTCCGTTAAAATGTCTATGTAAGGCCGTCCTACGTGCTCGTCCCTTTCTGTGGTGAGCTACGGTTTCAGACGGTCATTGAACCTCACCTTTCTCACTGTTGTTCTTTGAAAATGGCCAAGGGTCGTAAGAGAAAAAGCGTCTACGAAATGTATGAGAAGAAAAGAACGGCCTCAGAAGAGGCAGATATATCCCAAAATGCTTTGCGCAGAGAACTCTCCACGGAAAGCATTATGGGATTTGTTAGGCTGTCGCTACCCGACAGCTGCGACCTGTAACAAAGATGGCGTAGGCACCCCGTGGAGGAGGAGGAGGGGGAGTTACGTGACCAACAGAGCAATAAGCAGTGATCATCTGTCCGAACGGTGAGGTAACTTATGTCACTATAAAGTCCAGTATATAGCCCCCACCCTATATAGTGATTGAGGGATTCAGGGCTTAGAGCGGACGTTCAGGCACAGGGTTGTGCATGTACAGTTTTTTTTAAAGGGGAGAGGGCGGGTGTTTTCAAAGATTTTTGAAAATCCTCCACTATACCGTTTTAAGGGGACACCATGTGTAAATGTTCAGTGTGTCGAACATTTTTGCCGTCTACACAGTCGGACTCCTAAATTCCTTGTTGGTGAAGATTTCTTCAGCTTCTGATATTTGGCTCCATCCGCTGTCATACAGCCAGCGTTTTGGACAGCAGTCCGTCCCGTCTACCAAGGGTAACATTCTAGATGTTGCAGACTCTCTCTAACCTTTAAGGTTTATTAAACTTAGCAATAAACTCACTAAGAGTGAAAATGGAGAGATGCCATCACCTTAGAGAGGCAATAACATGCTCTAAGATCCTGTGGAAGGAGACGTTGCTGTAGAAACGGGGCTCAGTAGAGACGGACCTTGACCTGTCAAACCGCTCTGATGTCACGGCTAACCTCGTTCCAATCCCATCGCTCCCTTCATAGTGAATCATTCAGATGAACTCCTGCAGGTTCTGTTCAACTACAACCATTTAGAAGATGCAAACACTGATGCGATTAGCAGGGCACAAAAAAATACTGAGGTTGAGAATTACTTCTATGTGTTCAGCCCGGCGTGCTCCCCAGAAAATGATTTTTATTCCATAATTTAAATCTGGCCATTTTAAGAGTTTTAAGGAGCAAAAGCAACATCATTGTGACTTTGAATATTTCGCTCTTTCTCTTCCAGACATTTCAAGCATGAAAACCTGTAAACTTGATTTTTATGTCATCTTTGTTTTGAAGCTTTTATCTACAACTGACTAGAAATATGTCACAAAAAGCCTTCCAGTGTAATAAGTTGCTTTACCGTAAATCCTCTAATATTGGCCTGTATTCTAACAATAGCCGGTATAAATGACGGCTGGACTCACATACAGGCTATAGTTAGAACCAACGCTGTTCCTGGGCAGTCATCAACAACTTGTAATCTTTTTTTATTGTCAGAATTCAGTCAGAATTCTGAGAAAAAAGTCAGAATTCTGAGATAAAAGTCAGAATTCTGAGATAAAGTGTCAGAATTCTGAGATAAAAAGTCGGAATTCTGAGATAAAAAGTCGGAATTCTGAGATAAAAAGTCGGAATTCTGAGATAAAAAGTCGGAATTCTGAGATGAAAAAGATCGGAATTCTGAGATGAAAAAGATCGGAATTCTGAGATAAAAAGTCGGAATTCTGAGATATAAAAGTCGGAATTCTGAGATGATAAGTTGGAATTCTGAGATGAAAAAGTCGGAATTCTGAGATAATAAGTTGGAATTCTGAGATAATAAGTTGGAATTCTGAGGTGAAAAAGGTCGGAATTCTGAGGTGAAAAAGGTCGGAATTCTGAGGTGAAAAAGGTCAGAATTCTGAGATGAAAAAGGTCGGAATTCTGAGATGAAAAAGATCGGAATTCTGAGATGAAAAAGATCGGAATTCTGAGATAAAAGTCGGTATTCTGAGATTAAAGTCAGAATACTAAACTGAAATAAAATTAAAAAATCGGTTAACTTTTTTTTTTCCAGTGGCCCTAATCCTCTTCCTTAGTCTGAATAGTTTGTTGGGCTGAAATATTTTTTTCTCACCATCATCAACTTAAACTGATCTCCGCCTGCATTAGTAGCTCAATGTGCTGCTCTTCCAGGCACTGCCATGACTGACGGACTCACTGATGGCATCTGTAGACTATGTGGCCGTTACCGTAGCGAGGTTTTCTGTTGATGTAACTTATTTCAGTTGGATGCAGTGTGATTTCTTCAGCAGTTTCAACAGATTACTTCATGTTCTGAGCCTTGTTGTTTTACAGCTCGTCTTGCAGCAGGTTTAAAGCAGTTTTGTTTTTCAGTTCCCCTCACTGCTTTTACCTCATTCCACTTTCCACCGGCCCCTGAACGTCCCTTTAATGCAGCTCTGTTTAATAATCTGAACCCAGCCTTCGTTTCTCCATCTCGTTTCTGAAGCACTAAATATGATGCAGCTTTACTGCTTCTCTGAAGGCACCACACATTTTATTAATATATAGTTGATTTTTTCACAATTTATATGATTAGCTTCAACCTTGATTTCCATTTTTCTTCTCCAAGCTACTAACCAGGTCTTTGTCTTTAGCATCCTGTTATTCTTGACTAGCATCCTCCTGTATTTTTACTGCATGAAGAGAGTTTCTACCTGCAGCTGGAAACTTTAGATGGAGGCACTTTCCAGTAGAGATGCACCAGTCGGACGGTATTTTTTGCTGTTTTTTCAGTACTGGC